GGACTTCTCCTTTGCATTCACAGCTTGGCTAACTGGCACCGGGGCCTCGCTTTTGGCTTGGCTCAGCTTTCGCCTGCCTTCCTCACTAAACGTAATCATCTCTAGCTTTTGATGTAAAGTGAGAGACATGCACCTCCTCCTTCCACTTGAACACTTAGAGGCCACCCTATGGTGATCAATTAGCCTAATGTAAATATTGTTGTTTGAGGGACTAGAGATCTAGGGTCTAGGAAAGCCCCAGGGGGCAGATACTGGAATGGCCAGTGGGTGGAGCAGTTGGAGCACATTTATTGATTGAGTTCATCATCTTATATGGATGTGGTTCCTGGCAGCTCCAAACATTACAATAGTAACATCAAATATCACAGAATAGCCCTAGCTGGTTTAGCTCAGTGAATAGAGCGTTGGCCTATGGACTGAAGGGTCCCAGGTTCGATTCTGGTCAAGGGCACATGCCTGGGTTGTAGGCTTGATCCCCAGTGGGGGTATGCAGGAGGCAGTCAATCAATGATTCTCTCTCATCATTGATGTTTCTATCTCTCTTCCTCTCTGAAATCAATAAAAATATGTATTTTTTTAAATATCACAGAATACCATAAAAGTATAATAATGAAAAAGTTTGAAATATTGCAGGAATTACCAAGATATCACATTTAGTGAGCAAATGCTGTTGCAAAATGGCACTGATAGACTTGTTTTACACTGGATTGCCACAAATTTTCAATTTGTAAAAAAAAAAAAAAAAAGGCAGTATCTGGAAAGTACAGTAAAGCAAAGTGCAATAAAATGAGGTATGGCTGTACTAATATGGAGCCCCACTCAGCATGATGATATAGAGGGTGTCCCAAAAAATGTACACACTTAACACAGTTAGCTCAATTGATGTTTTTTCCCCAATTTAACCCATTGGAATGAATAATTATTCAGTGTGTATACATTTTGTGGGAACAACCTGTAAATGTGTTCTCAAATTTCATCTTCCTCTTAGGAATGCTGCAGCGTGTTTCCTTTAAGCTTTAGTCATCTATTATTTGTTTTTAAAGTACTTTATGATTTCACATATTTTTGTAAATCACAAAACCACATTGTGCTTGAAAGTAGAGAGAGAGAGAGAGAGAGAGAGAGAGAGAGAGAGAGAAAGAGGGGGGTTAACTGATCTGTTAAGGCCTTATAGTAAATTAGTAGAAGAAAGTAGAATATCGAGGCTCATGTTAACATCTTTATTCAGTTTCCCCCAAAGTGGTCGAGGGCAAATACTGTGGTTTTCTCTCTAATCCTGATCACTTCCAAGGTGTCCAGAGGGTTTAAGGAGAAATATACTCTTGAAGGGGAAGATGTATCACATTTTGACAGATATCAGGTATTGATTACCTATTTACACTGCCTAATATTTTAAATGTCCTCATAATGTCCCAATGAGTTAAGGCAGATGTCATTCCTACCTTAAGAGAATAATGAAGATAGCCTATGGAACATTCAATTATTGCCTATCAAAATGTGCCATCTTTAAGGGAAACAGATAGGGCATCCCTCCTCAGTTTGCTTTTTAACCCTTAGGCCTGGAAGGACTCAACACCGACTTCTTGGAAGGACACCAGGATTCTCATTGAACGCCTGGCTCCTGGCCTCATCTCCCCCCATGCCTCCTGATCCTACTCACTCCCCTGTGCTCCTCATCTTACCTGACTTGTGACCCTCCGACCTTGCACAGGGTAGAGGCCCAGTGCTATTGGTTAGGAAGTGTGTGAAGTGTCAGTGCTGACTTAGCAGCAGAAAGGCATCTGCTTCAAGGAAGTCTTCTGACCCTGGGTGTACATTTCTCCAGATCTGTGTTATTCTGGGGAGCAATATACTGGTGTGCTGGAAAGATCGTGGTCTTAAGAGTTTCGGACCAGGACCCTTAATAAAAGTCAGGCCAGTTTCTCCTTTACGGATTCAAGTTATAACCACTTATACTTATCAGGAGCCTGGCTAAGATACCAGCAACCCTCACAGAGCAACAAAACTAAATACTTTGAAGTATAAAACACAAATCTTAAGTTAAAGGATTAAACCCTGCTTTTTCTCCTTTGTAACATGGGATGAGTAAATGACAGTTTTTAGGAAGTGCCATGACATAGTGGTTAAATGCATAGCTCTAAAACCAATCATGATATTTATTAGCTGTAATGCTGAGCAAGTTATTTTACCTCCTTTGCCTCAGTTTCCTCATGTGTAGATGGTGATAACATTATCAGTTGTTGTGAAGATAGATGAAGCACGTCTATCTAGTTCTTAGAATAGTATCGGGCACACAGTGAGTACTCAATTAGTTACCATTATTGTCAGCTATGGATTTAAATTGGAGAATGTGCCGAAACCGGTTTGGCTCAGTGGATAGAGCTTTGGCCTGCAGACTGAAAAGTCCTAGGTTCGATTCCAGTCAAGGGCATGTACCTTGGTTGTGGGCACATTCCCTGTAGGGGGTGTACAAGAGGCAGTTGATTGATGATTCTCTCTCATCGATGTTTCTAACTCTCTGTCCCTCTCTCTTCCTCTCTGTAAAAAAATCAATGGAATATATTTAAAAAAAAAGAAAAATCGCCGAAACCGGTTTGGCTCAATGGATAGAGCATCGGCTTGGGGACTGAAAGGTCCTGGGTTCGATTCTGGTCAAGGGCATGTACCTTGGTTGCGGGCATATCCCCAGTAGGGGGTGTGCAAGAGGCAGCTGATCGATGACTCTCTCTCATCGATGTTTCTAGCTCTCTATCTCTCTCCCTTCCTCTCTGTACAAAATCAATAAAATATATTAAAAAAAAAAAAGAGAAAAATCTTTTAAAAAATAAAAGAAAAAAAATAAATTGGAGAAGGTATATAAAGCCCTTAGCACACAGTCCTTGGCATGGATTTAAATGATCAAAAATGTAGGATGGTTGGTAATAACAAGCTACCTTGAAATAATTTGGATTAGTGGGTACACTTGGAGGAGATCTAGTGGGATGAAAGTTAACTATTTTACAGGGAAAAAAGAACCCTTCCAAATCAGTTCCACTACTTTATTTAAAGGAGAACAGGAAGGTAGTAACTTCATGTGAAGTCATCACCTAGGCACGGCAAAGTCACAGCTGGCACAAGGCAATATCTTATCTTTGACTTACCAGGTATAAGAAGTGTCACATGAATATTAATATTGTTTTAAAAAGGTTACAAAGTGATACATGTAAATACATTTTTATATAGGTACTAGAGGCCTGGTGCACGAATTCATGCACAGGTGGGCTCTGGCTCGCCCATTCTATTGGAGTAGATCGGGCTGGCCAGAGGGAGGGGCCCTGCCCCCTGGTTGAACTCTGCTGAAACTCCCAGTTGAGGGGACAATTTGCATATTACCCTTTTATTATACAGGATATAAAATAATTAACTTATATGCTGTTTTGTTAGAGCTAAATGTTTGTGATTATTTTTAGACCTCTATGAATCTATTCCATTCCAGGGAAATTTATTATGAAGACATGAATACATGGGTGGGACACCAGTATTTCTTTTTTTAAAAATAATAACCTCTTGGACAATACTTTGTTTTTAAAGAATAAGTATCCACTAAATATTTTAGTTTACACATCAGTGTTGTATATTTTTCTCTGTTGATATGACACAGATGATGCCTTAGAGAAACACAGTATAGTCACAGTATTTAAAAACATTTTTAATGCTTACTTTCCTTAACTGTGCTTACTGGGAAGTAGGATATAACTCAATTTACTGGAGAACAATAGTGCCTTTAAAATTGAAATTCTTCGTGACAAGCAGAGAGCTCTGAGCTTCTGCTTATAAGTGTTTCCCATAACCTTTCATTTCTCACGGCTTCCCTCATCTCTTTTCCTCTCCTGCCCTTTTCTATTATCGATTTGTTCTCTCTACCACCCTACCTTCCCTTTTAATAATCATTCATCTTTTTTAGAATTCCTTATTTATTCGTTAAAGATACGCCCGCTGCTTTATTGATCTTAGTAGTCTCTGCTTGTATTTCTCTAGGATATTGGTGTCTTCTCAGCAGGCCTGAGCTGTGTATTAACGCCGGGACGGCGGGAGAAAATCTGCGCTCTCACAATTATTTGGGCCACTGTCACTTGCGTGGGCAGCAGCATTTATACTGAGCGCCGCTGGCAACACAAATGCAGGGACGTGGAGCCAAAGTGATGAGGGAAGCTGCGAGCCGCCCGGCATCCGCCTGGCTCCAGGCCCGCTTCTTGGGCCCGCCTTTGCCCAACGAGGAATTGCAGGCTCCATTTACTCCGCGTCTGTCGGCTTCCTTCCCTGGGGCGGCCCGATGGGAAGTCGGGGGTGGGGGTGGGAGGGGGGTAGTTAGGCGTAACTGTGTTAAAAGTGAGCATCAGGGACGGTTGCCTACTTAATCCCAGTAGCGGGAGAACACAAGGCAGACGTTGGGGGGGGGGGGGGGGGCTGTAAGCATGCGAGGAGGCTGCTTGCCAGGGATGAACGGGGAGGGAGGATTACTGGACCACCTGAGCCCCGGAATCACAGGTGCCTCTGGCACCTGCAGCGGAATTTTCCCCGCGTAGACCCTGTGTGTGTGTGTATGGGGCGGGGAGGGGTGGGGGGGAGGGGGAAGCGGGAAGGCCCAGGACCTAGCGGGTCGCGGCGCCCCCTCCCCGGGGCGGCGGGGCCAGACCCCCCCTTCTGGCCCGGGGGGCGGGCCCTCGCGCTGTCACTCACGCCCCGGCCCCCGCCCTCCGCCGCCCCCGCCCCGCCCGCCGCGGCCCGGCCGCTGAAGTCACAACCCCGCCCGCTACCTGGGCGCCGGGCACTGCGGACCGGCAGCGGCTCCGGCTCCGGCTCCGGCACCGGCGGCGGCGGCGGAGGACGGTTCCCGCGGAGGCGCCGCCAGGGCATGAGCGCCGGGCGCCTCTGCCTCCGGGGCGCCAAGGCCACGGGCCGGGGCGGCGCCGGGGGGCCGCGGGGCGGGAGATGAGCGTGCGCCCCGGCTGGGCGGCAGCATGCACCCCGGTGCCTCCGGCAGCGGCGGCCCCGCGGCCCCCGGCGCCCCCGGCGAGCGGCGGGCCCCCGGGCGGGGCCGGGGCGGGCGCTGGCGGGCGCCGGCGGCGGGGGCCGCGCTGGCGGCCGCGGCCCTGTCCGGCCTGGGGCCCGGGGCGGCGGGGGGCGCGGGGCCGGGCGCCGCGCTGCTCGGGCTCGGCCTGTGCCTGGCGGCCGCCGCCGCCGCCTTCCTGCTGGGCGCGCTGCTCTCGCTCGCCCGCCGCGGCCCGCGCGCCCCGCCGCCGCGCTTCGCCGCCGCCCGCAGCCGGCGGGCCCTCCGGCCGCGGGTGAGTACGGCCCCGCGGGCGGGGTCCCCGGGCGGCGGGGCTGCGGGCGCCGGAGGCTCGGTCCCGATGCCGCCGCCCCGCAGCCGGGAGCGGGGGGCGCCGTGCGGGGCTCCCCGCGGCTCCGCGGGCCCTTCTCCGCGGAGGGAACTTGGGGACCGCTCACCGGACAGACCCCCCCCCCCCAGCCCTGCACCCCAAACCCTTCCCCCCCCCCCCCCCCATCCCGCGCCCGCCGGGGTGGGAAGTAGCGCCGCCCGCTGGCTGCTGGATCTAGAGGGGGCGCCGGACCCCGTGCGGCGGGGAGGCTGCGGCCGGGCGGGGGCGGGAGAGGAGGGGGAGGCAGGACAGGGCAGGTTTCAGAGGGGCTCTGCCCGGCCTCCGTGCCGAACCCCGGCTTTCGCTGCCTCGCAGCTTCCGGCTCTCACCCGTAAGCGAAACGGACTCTGTGCCGGCCTGACACTCAGCCCCAGGGGTGAATGGCGCTGCCCTTCGGCAAGCTGTCCCAGCCCGTGGGGTGCGGGTGGGGGGACCCAGTCCGTGAGCACGTTTGTCCGGGGGCCCCTGCCCCCCGGGCTGTGTGTTTGCCTGCGATCTGACCTGCGCCCTCGGCGAAAGGAGGTGATGGGGGTGGCGGGTGAGACAATCGGGCACGCTCGCTCTGCCAGTTGATCAGCAATTGCGTGTACTAAGGAAGAGGAACTTCCATAGTCTAAAGAATCAGTCGTATCAGTTTTTCTTAAAAACCTTCATTTAGCTGTCCATCCCCCTCCCCACCCCCAGTCTAATTTAGCAAGAATTGGTGAGCAGGTGTACTTTTCTGCTTTCTTTTCTAGGTTTTACTAGTTGGTTTGTTGATCCCTGATAAATGGCATTGCAGTTCTTTAGGGTATTGTAAGAAGTTACTGTTCAGGGTGTATTTATTGAGTATTTTGTACAAGCCAGGTATTATTCTGGAAGCTGGGGTGGAGTCAAGACACGGGAATATGCCCAGCGGTCTAGAGATTGTATTCTTCCGGGAACCAGACAATGAACAAACACATGAGGCACTTTGGGATAGTGGTACATCTGTGAAAAAGGGGTTAAGCAGTAAGAGGTTCAGAGTGCCCCGTAAGCGGGCACAGGAAGTTTAGAAGGTGGGGTCAGGGTCAAAGTCTTACTGCAGCCTACCCCTGAGGGCCTGCAAGCCTCAGGCTGTGGGTTACCAACCTGTCACCTGGAGCTTTCCGGGGAGATAAAACTTTGGGGAATCCAGGAAGGGGGTTAAGGAGACAAGTTAGAGATGATAGTACTTGAAAGGTGGCATTAAATGAAGCAGCACATATAACTCTCAGGTATACTACCCGGAAATGTCAGGTAATAGAAGAGATGAAGTACAAACTAAGGAAAACAGATGGGTCTTTTAGGACTTGTATTAAAAAAAAAAAAAAAATATATATATATATATATATATATATATATATATATATATATATATTGATTTTTTACAAAGAGGGAGAGGGCTAGAGAGTTAGAAACATCGATGAGAGAGAATCATCGATCAGCTGCCTCCTGCATACCTCTTACTAAGAGGTGTGCCCGCAACCAAGTTATGTGCCCCTGACGGGAATCGAACCTGGGACCTTTCAGTCCGCAGGCCAATGCTCTATTCACTGAGTTGAACCAGTTAGGGCTAGGACTTGTATTTTTATAATGACCTTAAGTAAGAAAACAAGTCTATTAGGAAACTCACTTTATAAGTTGTATGCTGCTTAGAATTGAAATGCATATTATTCACATACAATTTTTTTAAAGCTGTACTGGTGCCTTTAGTTGTGCTGTATTTCTAGTAAAGTGAGTTTATGGTTTAAAAAGTGTTCTCTCCCTGATGAATGGAAGCATCAGCATGTGGTGTAGTATAAAATATCTGCAGTTCTGTGGGGGTGGGAGCTGGACCACACAGGACCAAATGGTGCCTGTTAAGATACAGTGACTTCTTGACTATGGGAGATTTGATTCAGCACGAAGAAAAGAATCCTCATGTATTCTTACACATTTGGATTAATTGAATGTCAGCTACACATGTCAGACACTGGGGGCTGTCCTTCAGTCTGTCCATCCCTCTTTCCTTCCTCCTTTCTTCCTCGTTTTTTTCTTACTGACTTCCTTCTATAGAGAAAAAAAATGCAGACCTGGTTAAAAATAGGCGGCCAGAGAAGCCTAAACTAAAAGGGAGAAGGATTTTCGTGTCTCGGAGCATTCAAATGCTTCTCCGCGCCTTACAGAACAGTTATGGCTGTAACTCCATGTGGTTATGACATGATTAACACCTTTTGTTATCCCTTGCACCCAGTAGGAACTGGAGCAGTGTTTGCTGCTGCTGATGAGGAAAATGAGGTCTGTGTGTGGTCCCTGACATAGGGTTTTCCCCTCTAATTAATCTAGTATCTGTTGGATATCTGATGTGTGAGGATTTCGATTTTACTTGGGTGGGAATCATTTTTTTAAAATATATTTTTATTTTTCAATTACAGTTGACACACAATATTGTATGCTTCAGGTGTATAACCCAGTGATTGGACGTTATATAATTTACTAGGCTACCTAGTACCCACATGACACCATACATCCTTACAATATTATTGACCTGCTGTTCTTTATATCTCCATGGCTATTCTGTAATTACCAATTTGTACTTCTTAATCCCTTCACGTTTTTCCAACCATCCTCCCAACACCCATCCCATTTTTCATCCAGTCCCCTAACCTTCCCCCGCTCTGTCAACTGCAAGTTCTCTCTTTTTATCTAAGTCTGTTCCAGTGTTGTTTATTTTGTTCTGTCGATTCTCCACACTTCAGTGAAATCATAGGGTTATTGTCTTTCTCTGACTGACTTATTTAACTGAGCACAATACACTCTACTCTAGGTCCATCCATGCTGTCACAGATGGTAAGAGTCATTATTTTTTTATGCCTGAGAAATAGCCTATTGTGTATATATATATGTACCACTGCTTTTTTTATCCACTCATCTCCTGATGGGCACTTGGGCTGCTTCCATAGCGTGGCTGTTGCACGTAATGCTACAGTGACATAAGGGTGCATGTATTCTCTCAAATTAGTGTTTTGGATTTCTTCAGATATATTCCCAGAGGCTGACTCTCTGGGTCCTAAGGCAGATCCATTGTTAATTTTTTTCTATTGCGGCTGCACCAGTACGCAGGGTGGGCATCACTATTGATTAAAGTAGTAAAAATAATTTTCATCTCAGGTATTTTCAGGAACTAAGGAAACTTGGGTGTAAGGTCAGGAAGGTCGATGCTCCAATCTTGACAGTTGATCTCCCGGCCTCACTTCAGCAGCACTTGGAGTTGGTCCGAGCCAGCAGATCAGAGTTGTGATGCTCTGGGCTGGCCTTCTCATGTGCCAGTTAGTCCAGCTTAGCAGAGCAGGCTGCCTTAGCCTCGGGGCCAGTTAACTCACAAGGGTCAGATTCACTAGCCACAGTCACTTCACTCTGGGCAAACAGCAAGAGAAATAGGGCAAAAGGGACCAGCATTACAAAGTGTATCTTCATATAATGGAAAAAAGTCACATGCTAGTGACATATGGAACACTGAAATCTGTCATGTAAAGAAGATAAGTAACGAAAGACTTTTCAAAGATCAGGCAGGGACGTTCAAGAAGTTAATCTAATCTAATTAATGTGCACATACTGAATATCTGCTGTATATTTGCAAGCCTTAGATTATTTTTCTGCTCAGTTGCTGAGTGCTGTGTCGAGGACACAGTAGGTAGGCTCTTGGTAGACAGATTCTGCCGGAATGAATGGATTATTGTTTGAGATGCGAACACATTTAAGTATCCCATTGACATTTTTAGATTTGAGATTTCAACTTCAGTTTCTAGAGAATGGCCCGGCCTTGCCTAGGTGTCACTAAACTTGGATAGTCGCTTTCTGTAGTGCCTGGCTGTGTTCCTGTGCTAGCCTCTCGGGCTGAGATTGGGCAGGCAGAGAAGACTGGATGGGAGGGCAGTGTTTGTGGAAACAGTAAAAACATTCACACAGCAATCCAAGGCACCAGGTGGCTTGGGTAGGACTTGTAGAATTCCTAAAAGAGTTCTTTTACTAATACAAAAGTTCTTTGAGTAAAACAAAGTGACTTTAGTTACTTGAGGGTAAAAGGAAAAGAAATAGGAATTAGGTAAACTATACACAGCCTCTTTGTAACTTTCTTTTATTATGCTAATGTCATAAACTAATCTTCAACCTTTGATAATGGATAATGACACTTATTGCCTCAGAATTTTTGTTTGCATTTTAACAGGGGAGTTAAGCCAGGGTGGCTAGTGGGAAAAAATATTTTGAGGAAGATGAGAACCCTGGGAAAGATAGAATCTTATCTAACTCTTGATGTGGTGTAGGGGTTGTTTACTTTAAATTGAGACTAGTTATAATTTTTAAATGTAATTTTTTACATAGGTCATATAATCACATGGTTTAAAAAGTGTGTACAGTGAAAAAAAAATCTCTTCCATATAGCCAGTATTAATAGATGCTGTTTACTCTTCAAGATATACATTATCTATATAATAAAAGGGTGATATGCTAATTAGACTGGATAGACCGGACGTCTTCTGGACAAAGCCACGGTGGCGGGGTCTGAGGCAGAGGTAGTTAGGGGCAATCAGGCTAGCAGGGGAGAGGAGTTAGGGGCAGGCAGGCAGAGGCAGTTAGGAGCGATCAGGCAAGCAGGCGTTAGGAGCCAGTTAGGAGCCAGTGGTCCCCGATTGTGAGAGGGATGTCTGACTGCCAGATTAGGTCTGAGATCGGGCCTAAACCAGCAGTCGGACATTCCCCAAGGGGTCCCTGATTGGAGAGGGTACAGGCTAGGCTGAGGGACCCATCCCTCTCTGTAAGAATTTTGTACATGGGGCCCCTAGTCTATAATAATAAAAATATAATATGCTAATTAGACCAGCTGTCCTTCCAGACGAAGCCGAGGCTATGAGGTAGCCCGGGTC